AGTACCTAAGTATGTATGTACATGTGTATATATATATACTAAATATGTTGAACAAAAACTGTGTAATAGAAATTTATTAAAATGGAAGTTTTCTCCTGAGGCTAGGTATTAACGTTACAAGGTTGTTCTCCGCTGTCCAAGGATTTTTTTGGATCATTACTTGAATTAAGTAATTGAAATACTGGAAATGTTTTCAGAGTATTTTTGCCATAAACAGCTCTTAAAAATCATTCAACTGTTCGGAGGTGTACACTGTAACAATGGATAAACTTCCACCAAGGATATGAGTGCTAATATTTAAAACCTACTGATATGGACTTTTTGATTAGAATGACAGCCATATGGAAATTTTGAAAGTTTCCATACTGATTTCTTATTTTCAATATCCTGAACACTCAGAGGGAAACATCGGAGACCCTATAAAGTATATATATACATATATAAATGATCAGCATGACGAGCTGTCCCGATTTAGCCATATACATCTGTATATACGCGAACTAGTCTCTCAGTTTTTAAGATACCGATTTTGCTCACGCTCTTACCTTATCGGCACCGCCGATATCGGATCACTATAGGATATATGTAACTGATATACAAAGTGATCGATCAAACTCAAGTCCTTGTATGGAAAACTTTTTATTTGACAAGATATCTTCACGAAATTTCGAATTTTGCGAACAAATTGTTTAGATCGGACTACTAAAGCATATAGCTGCCATACAAACTGACCGAGAAACTTTTAATTTGACAATGTACAAGTATCTTTACGAAATCGGGCATTGAACAAATTGTTCAGATAGTACATCAATAGCATATAGCTGGCATAAAAGCTAATCCATCAAAATAAAACCCTTGTATGGAAAATTTGTATATTTGATAATGCATTTGCAAGAAATTACATAGAAATTGGGCAACGAAAAAACTGTTAAGACCACTACCGCATAAGGCTGCTTTAAGGGTAACATGCGTTTCACGGCTTCAAACAAATTTTTTTGTTTTTTTTGTCTTATTTAATTCAATAACATCTCTAGAATATTATCCTACATTCTCAAGTTGATATCAGTAATAGTTTTGGAGATACAACTTTGAAAAGTTGCGCGCTCAGGGTCAGCTCTATAGTCACTTAAAACTTTAAAAGCGTTTTTCTCGAAACTGTGTTTTCAAAGTCGGTTGTCAAGATTTCTCACGAACTACTTAGCCGATCCTAATGAAATTTTACACATTTATAATTTACAAAGTCTTGCCGCGGAGGATTTTTTTGTTCAATTCCAACTATTTAAAAAACAAAAAACGTCGAGAAATGTTCACCAAAATTTGCATGTTTTTGTAAAAACGTCTGCAAAAAATGCATTTTTTACTTTATATGTTTTTTCTCCGGCTCCATACCTAGTTAATGGTCTTAGTTCAAACACGTATTGTTTTCTTTTTACTTTTGATTATTCTGTCAGAAATTCTGCTGTCAACGCGGACGCACCTTTTTTCCGAGGGACTACCGGAAATGACGTCGTAATGATCGAGTTTTGAATATTTTTCTTTGAAAATTTCACAAAATCTGTATCAAATATGCATCTTCGAAATAATAAAAAGTTTAAATAAAATATTTAATTTTTTATATGAAAAAAAAAAATTATTGAAAATAGAGCGTTTTTTTCTCGACGAAACCCACGTCACCCCATAAGTCGACCTACCAAAATCAGGATATAGATATTTTTATATCTCTTAATGCTATAAAAAATGCTCCTGGGGAGAGTATTATAGTCTAGGTGTAGCTAAATTTAACGTTTATTCTTTATTTTTTTTATAATTTGCGAAGAAATAATCGGTTCAAGATAACTTTAGCAACATCGTTAAAATTGTGGTGTGCTTAACGATTATCTTAGTGTTGTTTCAGATGCTACAAAATTACTTCAGTGTTATAAATTTTTGAAGCTATATGTATGTGCATATTAGCAATGGTGGCTTTTTCACTCTTCATATAAATACATGTGTCCATATATCATATTTGTTACTGAACCAATTTTCCATATATGCAAATTTATATCAATATTGAAAAATATGGTTTTTTATTTTTAATATTGTATACAGTAAACTTTGTGCGTATGTATGTACATGTTTTTAGGCCCTGGTAGACGCGTGATCCTTGTATAGTTGGCGACCGGACATCCGTTGTTGGATAGCTGATGGCATGTGAGGAGGCGGGATTTACACGTGTGCGATGTTGGCTAGCGGTAGTATTCATTTTTAAATATTATCTACGGTACCGTTAGTTGTTTAATACTTTTAAACGCGCGCTCTTTGCAAACTATCACTGCACCAAATAAGCAAATATCCAGCTTTAATGCTGGCCGATTATGTGATCTAAACGTTGGGAGCTAGGAAAAGCAACTAAATTGAGTTAAGCAAAATAGGAAAGCGCGAAGAGTTTTCAAAATTATTATATGCTTTTGTGCTATATGTGTGTGTATGTACCTGTCCATGTGCTAATATGTAGTTGTATACATTTGTTCATGAACATCTACATTTTTTGGTCCAGTGTTTATATTCCATGAGGTGTTCCTATTTACATACAAACACAAAACTTGGCGGCACACACTGGAAAATGTTTCCAGCGTATTTCGTCTACATGCATTTGTTTATAATTTTCACAAACAATATAACCATCAACTAGTTGCTACGGGTTTTTTTTCTTCTAATTAAATGAAAATGTAAACTTTTGTTTCAAAACGGGAATAGATTATACATACATATATATTCATTCATACATATTTATTTTCAAGCACCTACATACCTACAAACGTACATATTTATATATTTTTAGACATTCTTGTTTTCATCGACCGTGCAGTACGAATACATGAATGTTTCTGATTTCTATTAAGTTGTTAATGTACTGCATGGCTGATCCACTCGTGCGTCTTCCTCTGCCGCAATAATAATCTCTGTGACTAATCAGTCAATGAACAAGCATATTACTAGTGCGTTTTGGAGTGAATGCCATTTGGGGTCAAAAATGTTTTGGTTAAAAGTTGTAAATACACAAACGCATGTCGTATTTGTCAAATAGGATGTAAAACAGTTCGAAGTGGCCTTGACATGACGGTTTCTCGCTTCAAAATCCCAAACTCACTTGTCGATCACATTGCTTTTACTGACAGTTTTAATTGCGCTGCTCACTGAATGGTTATGTGTATATGGCAAAAAAGACCCAAAAACAATTCAAACCTGCTCTATTATTTCAGCCACCTGTTATTTATTAGTAGCAGCTGTAAAAAAGCATCTTTGAATCGTTTGGCCGGTCTTTTCTTTTTGCATTTTCTGAAAGAACTTACCGTTGTAATGTATGTACATACATATATATTTTTTCTATCATCAGAAAGTAGAAAGCCGATTGAAAATTAAGTACTTTTTTCGTCATGAAGTCAAAACCAGGAAAAAACTAAATATTTTAAACCAAAACAAAAAAAAAATGTTTACCTCGGTTGCACCGAAGCTATAATACTCTTTACAGAAAATTCAATACAAGAACTTGGCTTTGATCGGTTAGTTTTTATGACAGCTACATACTATATGCTATAGTTTTCGTTCCTAGGGCAATAATCCATACCAAATTTCGTGAAGATATCTCGCAAACTAAAAAAGTTTTCCGAACAGGGACATGATTTTTGTAACAGATATTAATCAAAAACACGGTTATTTGAAAAAAAATTTCTCAAAAAAATTTTAAATATTTTTATTATCTACAACGTTGCCATTTAACTTTTCTCCATAGGACTCGTAGTGTTTCCTAAAATCGAGGTAGACCGTTTTTAATCCTTAGGTCTTCTTTAAACTACGACGTCAGATCGCCCGGAAATTATTTTTTCCTTTCATTTTGGTTATTTTATCTTTTTGGGGTTTCATCGTACTATGCATTTTTCACATTTTACCATTTTCAAAGGCCTCAGCACTGGCATATAATAGTGCCGTAGAAATTTGTTTTTGAATCTTTGACGAACAAAATTGCTTACAATTATAAAAGTATTACAGTTATTAAATTTATTTTATATACTTTTATTCTGCCAGTATATATTACAAAGTATTTATGTACATGCATATGATTATTTGTTATTATCAATACACATATGTTTTTATTTTTATTTTTACCGTTAATAATTGTTTATTGTATTATTTCATTTCATTTTTTATACCTTCTTATTAACTATACACAAATATTATACGTACCCTATATGAAATAAATGCCTTAGCATTTATAAGGCACTTTCAAATCTACATACTTTTATAATTGCTTTCCTAATATATGAATTATAATTTCAATCTTAATGACTCCAATATTTATATTTATAATTTGGTTTTAAATTATTGTCACAGAAAAGAAAAATATATTTAATATATTTCTTTTAATAATCAATATGGAAGCCAATTAAAAAATGAGTAATTCAAATTAGTCTCCTAATTTAATATTTTTAGCATTTTCGAAATATTTTTTAAAATTACGTGCCTTTACTTTCTATAAATGCTATGTTTAAGTGAAATACATTTATTAATATACGATTTGGTATTTTTTGAGCTCTAATTGCACCATAATAGTTGTTTTCTATCAGAAAAATTTGGCTGAATTTTTTATGAATAAAAAAATTGTTTTTTTAATCAACGCACATCAATTGCTGGCGTTCGATAAATGATAATTAATATCTTTAAATGCTACAATATATATCGCTATGGTTTTAACGTACAATTGCACGATTTTTTTTAAATAAAATAAAATATTTTACATGATAACAAGTACACGTTTTCGGATTTACAAATTACTATAGATATAATTTTTTAACAGAAATTGTTTTACTAAACACAGTAGATTTATGAATGTACAAATATGGACGTTCATAATTCATTTGGTTTGCAAATGACTTGTATATGCAAATTTCGATCATAAACAAATGTAAATTTTAAAAGAAGTTTTTAACTACTATTTATCGAATCTCACTCTCTTCTGTCACAACTATGTATTAAGATATTGTTATCGTGCTTTCTTGTAATAATTGCTGAGCAAAATCTACAGCATTATCATTATCTGTCTCTGCTTCATATGTTCCGTTGGAGATATCGACTATATCCTTAGTATCTATTTGTCAATCATTGTACATGCCATCAACCAAGAAATCCATTCGACGATAATGTCGCGTAGACCAGCAATCGCGGAAACGGCGATAAGTGGTAATCACAACTCCAATTGCCAAGGGTATTGTGAAGAGAACTGTCATAATGGGTACTATGTAATCTCGGCTGCTGTAATAGCTGAACCCATTGTTTAATTCTTGTGACGGTTGCACATTCGGTGGCACAATGGGTTCGTTCGCCACTGGCAGTTTTGAGCTAGATGCAACCATCTCCTTTATAACGTTCGTCTCTCCTGGTAAAATTGGGAAATCACCAAGTCCAAATGTGATAATTGGTTTCTTTGGCTTGGGTGTGGTGGTGGTGGTAGTAGTAGTAGTAGTAGTAGTAGTAGTGGTGGTGGTGGTGGTGGTCGTAGTTGTAGTTGTAGTACTGGATGCGGTAGTACCTTTGGTTGATGTGGTAGATTGTGTTGGTTTCGTACCATATTTTATTTCCGTTGTTTTATTTGATGCTTGCGCGTTATCTTCATTTTTGACACCCGGTTTTGCAATTGTTGTTTTTATCTTGTCTTTTAGACTTGTTACATCTGTTGCATTCACCGTTATTACACCTAGGTTAGTGCTTTCGTTGTGAATATTAGTTGTACTGGAACTTTGAGAACTGTTTTCGATATTTTCCGAGTTATTAAATGCCACAAAATTACCGTTTTTTACTAACGCCTCCGTCTTATTGTTAATTCGATCTATAGATACATTTGCACTTTTCGTGTTGTTTTCCGTTCCTGTTGGTGTTACATTACGATTTTTATGCACGTTGGCATTGCTTCCCGTTGTATTTAATAATTGTGACAAAGACTCTGTGTTATTTTTTGCCAGAGTATTATTTGGCAATGCATTTTGCACTGATGACGTTGCTATGCCGATATTTTCACCATTTGCCAAAATCAGACAATGCAAAATTTGCAGACAACCAAGTAATAACAAAATCGTTCCCTTTTCCATTCTACGGCACTTCACTCGATAATGCATTTGCCAAACATGAAATATTTTCACAATTTTTATAAATTTTCTTGCAACTATAAATTCAAAATTTCTCTTTTTTGAATATTTGGATGCATAAATATTTATCAAATTTAGAGATTTTTTGCTCAGCTGTTTTATGTATAAGATACACAGAGTTGCTTTTATATGCAACAAACGAATATAGAAGTACTAACAGTAGGGTGATCTTGTTTATGTTAATTTTATTAGGGACAAAATATTTTGTCTTAAACTTTTATCTATAAATATTTAACATACCTACACAAAATGTAAAAAATACGATATATATAATAAGAAACACTTTAAATTTATAAAAACCACATTTATGAAGCTTAATGTGAAATTGAATAATCGTCTTTGCATACATGTATGTATGTTTAGGTGTTATTGAGCCAGAGGATTACTTTCTGTGAGAGGCCACACCTTTTTCCTATGGCTCCTCTGCAGCAGTACAAGGCAATCAATGTCTTCCTTGCACTCTCTCGCTATCAGGCCTCCATGAAAGATTGCTATCTAGGACGAGCTCTAAATACTTCAACGTATCTACAGATTACAGGCGCAGCAGTGGTGCCTCCGCGTTCTTGTATCTCCTAGTAAATATAACTATGTCAGTTTTATTTAGGTTAATGACGAGGCCATTTCCAGTCGCCAAATGATTTACGACGCTGAGATACCCTGGCGTTAACTCGTCCCAGTACTCAAGAACTTTGCTTTGACAATGAGTGCTACATCGTCTGTATAAGCAATCATCCGGCAGCCACGATCCTTAAGTTTTTTTAGCAGGTCTTTTAACAAGGGAGGCTTAACCATCATGCGATCTTTGTCGCTTGAGCGTTTTTTTAGTAGCAGTCGCTTCCGGTCGTACCCTGTCATTTTCAGTATTCTCTTGGTCTACTCGGGTGTGTTAGCATGCTCCGCAGATATTTAACGGTATCTTGTTTGTCTCATATATACATATGGTACATATACTTTTTTATCTTTATGTACTTACCTATATAATTTCTATAAATCTCAAAACTAGTAGGAATGTAAAATAAAAAGGAAAATGAAAAACTTTTTAATAATTTTTTCTTTACTTAAAAAAATTTTAATTTATTTTTGTAATAAATATTTAGTTTTTTTTTTTAAGCTCGAAATGATATTTATATTAAATGTTTTTGACTGCTTACTGGATAAATGTAATTATATTAATATTACTTTAATTACTTTAGAATGCTTAAAATTACAAAATGCTTATTTAACGAGGTAGTAAGGAGAGAAACATTTGTATAAAGATAATTTAATTTCTCATTTTTGTTTCTGTTGAGGTCTGTGGCTTGCTTCGATTTGTCCAGACTTGTCATACGCGCCATAAGTACCATGCAATCTACTTGTATCTAACCAACTGTAAACACCGAAATTATAATTGAATGTAGCATGATAATAATCGTGGAATGGCACAGAAATTAGCGACCAAGGGAATGCATAGCCAGCATGATCACTTAATATACTTGTATTATAAGTTGCGATAGCAAAGAATATCCAACCAGTTACAAGATGCGTACGAACCACACCCAAAGGCAAAGCAATGGGGTAGGTATTCGCCAATATATGTTCTATTGGATGGCAGTAATGTGCTACCACAGCAATGGGTGAAGTCCACTCGAAGTGTTTCTTATGTACGTATCTATATAGAGCGCCATAGTGTAGCAGGCGATGACCATAATAGAAGATTATCTCTTCCAATACAAAAGATGAGGCCAGATCGAAAACAATTTGTTGTATCAATGGTAATATTCAGAGTGTTTTGATATTTATAAGCAAAATGATAGAGCCCATAAGCCGGCGGTATAGCCACATATGTTTGATTGAAGAGCACTGCGAGTAGAGCCCGAGAGGACATATGAAAGTTAATTATTAATGTGGATATAAAATCTGTTTTACATAGTACACAGTATATATGCCGTTACATAAACGCTGATGTAAGTATATAAATTGTTAACTTGCCGTAAGTAAACGCTTTGTGTCCACAGGATCATCTTTACCCGGCTGCAACTTTTATTTACGTAAAAATTGTGGTTTTTTGATAAAGTCCATCAAATTTAAAATGGTCGCATAAAGCCAATTAATAATAAATATTAAAAGTACTTTGCCATATACCCATAATCTTTTAGAATCGTCTAAAAATTGATTCCACTTCTCCTGACAGAAAGACACAAAGTTTAATCCATTCCATTCTCTCGAAAAGAGCACAATTGGGTTGGTAACAATTTAATATAGAGGGCTCTCCAGCCGAGATTATTGCCAGGCGATAAAATATGGAATTTCTTGTGTTCGCTATCCACCCTCTCTGGTTGTTTGTATGGTAGATATTTCGATGCATTTCGCATTGTTGACATGTGCATCCACACAAAATGACAAACACAATATTGTTGATCATTCAATTAAATACTTATATGCAAAAATCTGTGTGCATATGTATGTGCTTTGTTTTGAAATTTTATAAATAAATTTGCCGGCTATTTTAGTTACCTAATGAATTGTTTGTGTGTACCCTACGATAAGTGTTTATGTGAAAATTACATTGAATACTTGTATGTTCTGAGCACATAAGAGATTTAGGGTATAATATTTGTAGAAAAATTTGAAGTTCCAAGGTGTCCTGATCTAATTTTAAAGAATAATTCGACTTTTTTTTTAGACGTTGTGGAAAAAAGTCTAAAAATTATCGATAAATTAGACCCTTTATTATATATTTATTTAAATCCCATCAAATTTCTAATTTAAAATTGACATTAAATTTTTAAGGTCAAAATACATAATATATTCACGTTATACTCGAGATATTAAATAGCATATATGCTGGAAAGTTTTATGTGAAAAACAGTCATTGTCCGATTTTGCTAATTTTTAAACTTATTTTACAAGAAAACACGTTAACCGAAGCTACTATAATACCCTTCACAAATACAAAATATTCGTTACAAGTACTCGATTCCAAACGTATACTATAGTTATTCGATCTGAATAATTTCTTTGGAGATTGCAATATTGCCTTAGACAATAACAGATGACAAATTTCGTGAAAATAGCTCAACAAATGAAAGGGTTTTCCATGCAAAAACTTGATTCCGTTCGTTGAGTTTGTGTGGAAGCTATATGCTATAGTCATCCGATCTGAACAATTTCATTTCGGAGATTGCATTACTGTCTTAGGTCATAATTCGTGCCAAAATTTCGTTAAGATATTTCGTCAAATGAAAAAATTTTCCATGTAAGCACTTGGTTCCGATATCGACGGTTTCCACAACTGAGCAGCTTCTTGAGGAGATAGACAGACGAACGTGTATAAATCGACTCAGCTCGTCCCGCTGATCATTTAGATATATGTTTTATAAGGTATCCAACAATTCCTTCTGGGTGTTACAGACATCGTGGCCAACCAAGGCCAACAGGGTATATGTTTATGGTATAATTAGACCAAAGTTTAATGAATAAATATATTTCCTTCTGTATTATTTGTTGTTGATCAATGATTCAGCAAAATCTGCTGCTATATAGCAAAATATAGTTTATATTATAAAATGTATTAATTTTATATACATATCATCTGATCAAATTTGACACGGACTGACAAAAAAAACTAAATTTTCAAATATTTTAATACAAATATACAAATCGCCTTCAAAGTAGGCACCTTTTGAGCAAATTCAAGCATGACAATGCTTTTCATACACTTGTTATAAGCCTCGACTGGGATGGCCTTCGGTGTTTTCAGCGAATTTTTATTTTTTTTTTGGTTTCATTCCATTTTTAGAACGCCATTTATGAATCCATGTCTCGTTACCAGTAATGACGTGAAAGAGGAATGAGATACGTAGTGAAGAATCTCTTTTGCGACCTCTACTCGTCGTCATTTTTGCTTTATATCCAAAATATGTTGAGTCGATCCATAAAAGATGTGGAGAACCTCTGCTGTCTCTCTGATGCCAACATGATGATTTTCAAACACTGTTTCTTTAATTTTTTCAATGCTCTTGTGATTGTATTTTAGATAGACGAGTCGAGAAAGACAAGTTTTCGTAGACTTCACGATCTTCTCTGAATGCTTTCTGCCATTCATATACTTGTGTTCATGATAAAGTATACTCCCCTAAACACTTTTGCAACACTTCCCGTAGCCGTGATTCTATAAGAAACATATGGAGATCAAATTTCACACGACCCTAAAAAAGGGTGGTACCCATCTATCAAAATTTTTTATCGATTCGGTTTGCCCACGCATTTAAATGGACTAGTATGGGTCAAATTTGATCAGATGGTATACGAGTACGAATATGTAGCATATACCACAATTTCTCTTGAGCCAGTTCATCGACAACATTTGTGTGCGTGTGTGTGTGTATGAGTGTGCGTTGTATACGTATCACATTCTATATTGCAAATTAGATAAGCTAAGCATGGATTTAATAGTATTAACAAGAGATACCATAATAACGCAATTTTCTATTTCGCCATTTATTACTGAGGTTTCGAAAATGTAGTCTAGGCAATATACTGGTACTATCCGATAAGATGTATTCGTATTTTGGAACTAAAATAATCATCTCTAACCTTTTTCAAATTTAAAACCAATAAGCAACCAATTTCGCTTATTTATTAAATTAATAATTAAAGTATTTACAAAATTTCGAAATTTTAATAAATTTTACTTGAAAGTTCATTTTTTAATTGAACATATTGTTCTAATTAATTTTATTCAACTTAAGTCATATTATGTTTCTAATCACATTTATTCCTAAAATTAAAATTTTTTTTTCGAAATCCTCACGTAAAAACTGTCGTGGAGATGTAAAAAGACACCTGTAAAAATCAGACCCCTGATATTAATATTAAAAGGTCGCGCATCGCAGATTTCTTTTCCCATTTAAATAACACGGACAATTTTTTTCTTTAATTTTGGAATTTTGCAACCCTGAACCGGTTTAACGGATTGTTGAACCAAATTATATTCTTATAGGAAATTTGACGCTCTACAAACATGGAGTCTCATATACATATATATTTAAATGAATGTTGTGGAGTCCATCCAACTGTCATATGGCCATAACTATAACTGCAAATCAAGAATTAAAGACTGTTTTGTAAGTCTTTCTTTCATCAACCGAAAGTTTATTAATCATATTTGTAATACTGCT